GCGACATTCATGAATACAAATCCTGTTATAGGCCTTTCATCTCAATCAATGTTGTGTTCTTTATCTCACACATGTGCCGTTATGGGTTAATTTGTGTTTGCGAATTATGGTATGTTTCTGTTCCTGTGGGCTGAGCTTTAGTCAAACGTTTATTTTCATTCAACGCTGTTTTGAGTGGTGTAGACGTTCGACCCACACAACTAATGAAACATTCAACACAAGTTCTTTCGTAAACTACATTATTTCTGTTCAATTTCTGTTGGATACTTTTATTGGTTAAGTTTGTTTCTAATTAGATTCACAGTCTTAAATTTGATTAGAATATATGTATGTTTCTTTGAGGTTTTTTGGATTGTCTCTACAGTGACTTTCATATTTGTCAGCGTCACAGTATTTCTGTAATCGTCCATATTATCGTCTCATGGTTTCATTTTCTTTCTTCTTTTCTAGTTATATCAATACTAACCAAAAAAGAAATTTCACCCATATTGGTATTATACTCTACCACGTTGCACAAGTTTTATTCTTATATCAATGATACACACTTATCCTCAGATACTGTTTTCTAAAGTCACAGTATATAAGATTGCTTACACTTGGAAGAACTTTGCATTCAGCATTTTCATTCAAAACGTTAAAGACTTTATCGCTTATAAAGTTCGATAGACTAACTCATCATTTACTGTATTTTAACACAGGAAATAACTGCACCTCATTTGATTTATGGTTTATGATAAACTAAAAATAATAACACAGTGCCTGAAGAATGCAGTCAAGAAAGCTACGTTCGAGAAATAAGAATAAACTACCTAAATTTGCCTGCTCTATGTGTATCTACCAGCTTGTCTGCAGCTGCGAAGCCATCTACATCGGGCAAAACATTAGGCAGGTTCATCATCGTATTTCCGAACATCATCTATCATGGTTAAGCAAGGGACAAACAAGATCTATTCGTAGCTTTATTTTAGCACACCTTGTAGATAGTGGGCATAAGGTTGACGTTAATACAGCATTTAAAATTATTTATCGCATTCCTACTAATCTTAATTTCGCTCTACGAGTTCGTCTTCTACATACAGCCATTTGTGAATGATCTCAATTTCAGATTTTCATATCGCTTCGTAGTAAGTTGCCATTTTAACATTACAGTTATCATCATGTCCAACAGAAAAACACTTGCAACTAAGCTATACTGTGAAAACAAAATGTATATAAGTTGTGACTATATTGCTATTGAAAATGAAATCGCCAGAAAGATATCTTCTCCTCTTCAACTACTTGTTACCTGCCTAACTTTACCCTGCAGTAGCAGTATTTCAGGCCATTCAATCAATGATCATGTAATCAAATTTCGAATGTGATTTCTTACCATAATAGATAGATCAGATTTCAACTCATTAATTTTACCTGCCGAAAAATTCCATTTTGTATACTCAACTACTATCAAATTTGTAAGTAGAATAAAACATTTTATCGAAATTCTACGTATACATTGTATTGTATGTGTTTTTCAGTGTTGATCTACTTACTGTCTGTTTGAATAAAAACACAGCATAGCCGTAATATGCGTCGGTGGCATAGCGGTTAGGACGCTCGCCGACCATGTACATGGTCCGGGGTTCAATTCCCGGCCACAGACGCACTCCTTTACCTCGCTGAGCAAATATTGAATAAAGCTGGTAAAGAGGAAAGGTCGCGCATGAGGCTAGCAACCCCATCCTGTAAAAATAAACACTGCTACAGAAACTTCAAGCCTCTAGCTTGAAGCCCTATGTTCCACTGGGAACGTGAAGGAATAAAAAGAGAGCCGTAATATTTGCACAGGTTGTAGTATTATGCCAGGCCAATTTCCAACACTACGTGGAACCAGAATATTCAAGGAAAGCACCCCCATCTACCAATTATAATTATATCTCCGTGGTTGTTTACACACAACTGTAAGCTTTTGTATACTTTAAAAATAATAACCGTGGTGACACCGACAGTTGGAATACTTTTTACTTCACAAACTCACAATTTGTAGTCATATATGTCTATTACTTTAGCCATCTATTTTTCATTTTCTCATTTCCCTCTTTCCAGAATTATATTCCAGGTTGTTGACAGTTTCGCTGAGTCATCATTCTTGCATGTGTTTGAGGCGACATTCATGAATACAAATCCTGTTATAGGCCTTTCATCTCAATCAATGTTGTGTTCTTTATCTCACACATGTGCCGTTATGGGTTAATTTGTGTTTGCGAATTATGGCATGCTTGTGTTCCTGTCGAAATTCTACCTATATATTGCATTTTTTTGTTTTTTTCAGTGTTGATTTACTTACTGTCTGTTTGAATAAAACACAGCATAGATGTTGTATTCGTCGTCTCGCCACCTCTCGTTTGAATCTTTGAAAATTTTAGTTTTGTAAATTTTGGTTTTCTGATGCTTGTTTTTACTCTACTTACGAGTTATCTCGCCAAATCTTTTATTTTTTTTATCGATCTCCTATTATATTAACTTGCACCAAGCTTTTGGATGTTTACCCTTCGTTTTTTATACCTAAGCATTGTGCTTTCCACGTGTTTCAAGCATTTCAACGTTTTAATTGTGTGCATTTATTTTCTTCGGTAGTTATCACCATTGACATATTGATACTCTCTAATTATTGCTAAAAATCATATAGCCACTTGGTTGGTAAATTGTGTGTATAATCAAAATGCTGTAATTGTTAGAGTAGAGTCAGAGATAAGGATCTTTTTGAAAGGTTATTATTTCTTAGCTCAATGCTTCTGCTTTCTAATTGTCTAAATGTGGATTTTCTCAACATTCAAGTTTTCAGAAATGTGTTGTTGTGTCAACCAATATGGCTGTGAAGTGTTTTCATGCTAAAAATTTCGCAGAAATGCGAAACTTGTCATAGTTTTTTTTTGAATTGTCTAGCAGTCACACTCTGAAAGAAAACCGATATACAAAATTTTATTTCTATCAGCCACCATTGCTGTATTATGCAAAGCCGTTAGTATATGCTTCGCCAAGTTCATTTTAAATCACTATATAATAGGACAAAACTTCTACTGACTCATCACTAAGTATCAACCATTATTATGTGTTACAGAACTTAGTGTTGGCTGAATTCTTCTAGTTACGCCTGAAATGTAGTAGACTCAATATTGAGAATTCAGGTGATTAACAGTAAGTCCCGGATTTGGGCGTTGTGCTTACTTGCATTTGTTGGCAAACCTGAACGTCAGAATTCACTTATCACTAAGAAACAAACAAAATACCAGCGAAAACTCCCTATTGACCATTCTGCGCATCAATTATGCTGGAATAATAATGGTTCAGAAAGCTAAAAGATAACGCCTTTACTGCAACATCGGTTGGTTTCTGAGCTCAGCAGAAGCATCATTTCCTTTGAGGTCGCATATACGTCTTTCTGATGAATGCTGATACGCGTGAAACCTGGATCTAGGGCTTCCTAAACGTCATCGCCAAGCATTTAATATATATTCGAATATTAGTTTCGCTTGTGAAAAATACGAATGTGTAATCTGCTGCCTCTGATTCACATATCAACATCATTTATTTTATATAAAACATCTATCTCAACAAACAATACAGCGCTCCTATCTACGTTCAGTAGTTTGATTAATTTATTATATATATATATATATAAATATATATGTATATATATTTATATGACCTAGTTTTACTGAACAGTCATTAATCCTCCTTCACATTAGATTTAAGTTGCTTTCGCTTAGTTTTGCTGATGCACAGTAGCTATGCTTTGTAAAAGATATTGAATTATTATTCATTTTATCTGCCCACTAAAATGTCTTAAGTGAATATTGGAGTTAGACAAGGCTCCCTACTACCACTGATGGTATTCCTAACTGTGGTGAACTGTATTATGCTGCAGACAGTGGCAAGCGATAAAAGAGACACATGGTGTTTGGACGAAAAACCCAAGAATGCCTGGATATTGCAGATGATTTATCTCTCATATTAAACAAACTCGAAAATTTACAAGAAAAACCAACAAGTTGGCAGTAGTGGCAGCAAGGAAAAGACTTTAAATAATGAAGATAGCCGACCTGACTAACAAAAACAAGCATCAACTACCACCAATGGCAGAAATCTAAAGACATGCGTCCTAAACTTGGATTTCAGTGTAGTGATTCACAGAAATTAGAACGACAAACCAGATCCGAATTTTCAACACTAATGTCAACTTAGTGTGTCGATACAGTGAAAAGTCTTGGCATGTGCTACAGACTTTCATCAACACCTACCGTCGATGGATACTAAAAGCTGACCAGAAATAATAAATAACCAGGAATTCTGACAAAGAGCAGACTAGCAAACAAGAGACCTCTGAGTGACATCATACAGCAGTCCTTCAAGCGGAATCCGAAAGCAAGGTGAGAAGTCCAGCGTCCAAAATTGAAATAAAAGAGATGTGGGGGGGAATGAAAGGTTGTTAATACTTGTACAGCCAGTCGAAAGTGACAGAAGGAGAACTGAGTGCGATGGAGATATGCCGCTTTAGCCCTATGTCCCGTTCTGAACGCAAGCAATGAATAATAACAATAAATTCACCCTATCTGTAATAATAATTTACGTTTCGTCAACTGCAGTGTTAAATTACGTTAATATTGACCAGAAACATATAGCGAAATTATTATACTATACTTCTATTTTAACTCATTCAGTTGTGTTGAATTTATCTTCTATTCACTTCCAAAGATACAACAAAGTGAACTTTTACTGCTAACTACACTCACAGATACTCAAAGCATACTGATATTATGCCAGAACTATGCATTATAGATTCCGACATATTTGACTGACAAAGGGAGGTAACTATTTCCGCTTCAGATTTCCTATTTATTCATAAAATCAGTAAAACAAGCTAACGCACAATCCTTCTAGGTTAACAACGCATCTACCTTAAAACTATCCAAATGATAAATAACTTTTAAAAAATCTGTTATACAAAAGCTGATAGATAGCATGAGAAAACCTTTTTTATTTAGAAAGCAATTTGAAACAATATCAGACAGCAAATTCGGACTAAAATTGATCATACTGACTTCTCCAACAAAGTATGTTTAGGAAAGCGCACACTTTAAAATAGACACTTTGAAGCAATAATTGGTCCGACCAAAAATAGAATTGGACTTCCTGAAATGTTTAAAAAGGGCATAATTTAAAATTGGTAGAAATCGAGAAACATGAAATGAAATTAACCCTAGTTGATATATCCGCAAATTAACTATATTTCCTGTCGCAAAGATTACTTCCTATCCTACATAAATCTATATAATAAAAGACCGCATTGTATAAAATTAGCTAACTAGTATTCTTCAAGCTTCATCAGGTAGGTTCAAGACATTCATAACTCTACTAGTTATGAATAGCAGATAGCAAGGCAATTCACCGAAGATTTTTCCATATTAAAACCAAGAGCCACAGTTTATGTGCGGCAGTTGGAGAAGCTAACCATTTTGTCAGAACAAAAATTTAAGTAAAGCAGTCTTGTGCTTCATTCAGTTAGGCTGTAATCATCTAGCCTTTTATTTGAGTACACTTGATGTGGACAAATCATCTTTTATTCGTAATTAAACCTACAGGTGAAATGTTACCCCTTGAGTTATTTTTCAGTCTGATTATTTAAATTAAAAGCTTCCTTTATAATAAATATTAAAGTATTTTGACGTTAAAGTATCTTCTCAAGAAGATAGTAAAACTAAAATACAAACTAAAGGAAATTGTATTAATCATGGAAACTTACCGAAGTTCTTTGCAGGTGAAGATGCTGTGAACAACAGTTAAACAGTGATTTATTATACTAATTCAATCATTTTAAAAATTAAAGTTTACAGTTTGCAGCATTAATGTGAGAAAAATCCTCCGAATAAAACTATACGCTACTCACTGATAAAGAAGAGTGCTTGTATACTACTCACAAAAATCAGTAGTGTTTGCTAGCTATTTTGGAGTGATCTAAACGCGGTATCAAATTATTGATACCAACTTAGTTTTCTTATGAAACGACAAAATGGACTACTTAAATTGCTTTCAGTCAGCATATTGAAGATTTCAACGAAAAACGGACGATAGGAATCTCTATAAGGAAGTAAGTATTATCTGGGCTTTTTAAAGCAATGTCTTGAGTGAAACATACGCAGTAGGTTTGGTGTATTTTCATAAAGCACTTTGTTAGTTAAACATAAAAAGTTACCATCTATGAGCATCCTTATTTAATCGTGATATTCAGTGTATAGTTTGCGAATAAAATGTTTAGGTGAATATAAGAAATTTTACAAGCTGTACATGGTTTAGTATGTAAATTGCATAAAGCTGAGTCGCTAAGCAAGCCATGAATACGTGTTATAGTTTCTCTCACATATACTCATTATTATTATTGTTATTGTTCCCTTGGGTTCCTAGTGGAACATAGGGCTTCAACTGCGCGTCTCCACTTGCTTCTGTTTTCTGCTGTACTTTTCACCTGCATCCATGTTAGTCCATACTGTTTCATCTCCTCCTCACACGATCTCCTCCATGTCACCCTTGGACGTCCCACTCGCCGCTTCCCTTTCGGCTTCCACTCGAGGGCCTGACGCGCGATGTCACCCAGCAGCCTCCTCAGCGAGTGCCCAATCCATCTCCACTTTCTCCTGCATATTTGTTGAGCGATTGGTTCTTGTTTCGTTTGTTCCCATAGTTTCTTGTTGGTGATTCTCTCCGGCCATCTGATCTTGAGTGTAGGACGAAGACAGCTGTTGATAAAGGTCTGCAACAGGCTGTTGGAAATATTCTTGGTGACCCGCCAAGTTTCTGATCCGTACAGAAGAACTGACTTGACGTTTGTATTGAAAATCCGAATTTTGTTGTTGATGCTGAGTGACGAAGATTTCCAGATTGGTTTCAGGTTGATGATGAATGTGTTTCTCGCCTTCCCGATTCTCGATTTGACATCTTCTTCCGTTCCTCCTGTAGTTGAGACAATGCTCCCTAGATAAGTGAATGAAGTAACCTCTTTCAAATCCCTCCCGTTGATGGTGATTGGCGCTGGATGTTGCTGTTGTTGTTGTTGTTGGTTGGTTATTTTCATAACCTCCGCCTTTTCTATGTTCACTTGGAATCCTGCCTTTGCTGCTTCTTCGACCAGTTTATCGGTTTTTGCTTGTAAGTCTTCGATTTTGTGTGACATCAAACATGTATTCATAGTAAAACAGAAATAACACGGCAATCGTTTCCTAGTTCCCTGTTTGTTTCCGTTCGAATGCCTCTTATTGAAATTGAGAATAGAATCAGAGCGTTAGCCTACATGCAAAGATCTAAGCAGATGTCGTATTTTGCTATTGAATATAAACATGATAGAAAGTATTTAAAGATTTTAACGAGAATTATGTCATCCACAAGATTTGTTCAATTCACACTTACATCGTTTACTTCGTTTCTTGTCAGCTACAAAAAGAAACAAAATAGTCAGTATTATAGGATTGATCACAATGTGTTTTAGCAAATACAAACAAAATACACCTCACCAGTGAAACCATAGAATATTTATTACCCGAATGAAATCTACAATACACGTAAAATTAGGTGACCGGTGAACGCTAAAATTTTGTTAGTTTGAAAAATGAGGGTGTTTTATGCACCAGAATGAGAGTTTTGCTGTGAGAAATATTATCAGACAGATGTTTTCCCTTCAAGTAGCTTACTGGACATTGGTAGTTAAAGACGCCAGGTAACTGGGCATGTATTTTTTGCAATCTATTCCAAATACTATGATATAAATCTTGAACAAAGTTTCCTTAAATATAAGGTGTTAAACCAAAAGATTCTGACATATTTTATGTGCTCTTAAGGAAAAACCATTTAATGTACTGTCCTGTTTTAACTGATTATCAAGGAAACATAAGTAAAAGATTATGTTAATGTAGTATTTGACAATGTTAGTAAATATTCAAAATGTATGTTGTATGTACTCATCAAACAGCGCTCCATTTTGATGAAGTTGTGTTCTCTGAGCTGGATGGTTTATTGGCGAAGCTTTCATTGACCTACTAGGCAACATCTTCAGCGCATTCTTCAAATTGAAATGATCTTTTAAATTGAAGAATGAGCTGAATATGTTACCTAGTAGGTCAATGAAAGCTTCGCAAATAAACTATGCAGTTCAGAGAACACAACTGCATCAAAATCATCTACCTGAGCTACAAATCTCATGAGCGGAGCGCTGCATTGACCAGCTGAAACTTATTTTTATGAATGCTTCCGTATATGTATAGCATTTACGCATGCATACTGAAGTAAATACTGGTGAAATTCTTTCTATGGCATTAAAATCATATTTTCCAACTGTGAACATCTGACTGATCAGTTAGTAATCATGTTAGTGGAATAGTAAAACGAATTGTCCCCAACTCTTACCATGTTTATGTTTTGGTTTTTTAGCTGTTAAACAGTCATATGAAAATATTTCCCAAAAATTAAATGATTAGTCGACATAAATACTTCAAAGAAAGTAATATTTAGATTGTATTGTAGTGAAATTAAATCAAATTTACTATTTTCAAGCTAGTACTACCAGCTGATGTGAGTAGTATTCGACGAATCATATCAACCAATCGATAATATGTAGCATCATTCAACGAAATTACTTTAGATGGTCAGGGCTATAATTAGGTTAGCCAAACAGTGTTCACAGATGGATATATTTTCATCCTTAAAACTGACGATTATGCGAAATTTTTCAAATTGGTACAATGATTGGTTGAATGTGTTAAAATACACTGCGTCAGTGTTTCTCTCTGAGTAAATAATTTTTTATTCCTTTACTTTTTTCCTTTTTATCCTTCACATTCCCAGAGGAACATAGGGCTTCAAACTAGTGGCTTGGAGTTTCTGTAGCAGTGTTTATTTTACAGGATGGGGTTGCTAGCCTCATGCCCAACCTTTCCTCTTCACCAGCATTATTTCTGGTTTAGCGAGGTAAAGGAGGGCGCCGGCCGGGGATCGAACCCCGGACCATGTGCATGGTCGGCGAGCGTCCTAATCGCTATGTCACCGACGCATTTTATTCCTTTACGTTCCCAGTAAAATATAGGGCTTCAAGCTAGAGGCTTGAAGTTTCAGCAGCAGTGATGTATATTTTTACAGGATGGGGTTGCTAGCCTTATGCCCAACATTCTCTTTCTTCACCAGTCTTATAACTGGCTAAGCGATTTAAAGGAATGTCTCGGCTGGGTATCGACCCCCGGATCACATACGTCGTTGGTGAGCATTCTACCGCTGTGCCACCGATGCACGAGTAAATAATGAATGTGTTATATTTTTTTATTAAATTAGATAATCTTTATTAATGGTTGATATGTAAGTTCTCTTCTACTAAACATCCACTTCTCATAAAATCATCTTGGAGATGGTTTAATCAAGGCATGTACAATATTCAAAGAAGGTTGTAAGACTCACTTGGCTTTGGTGTTTCCTTTTTCTCTTCTATAAAGGTAGAAAAGCAAAACAGTTTATGAGAATAATGAACGCATAAATTAACTTTTTATCATACACTGGTAACTACTTTGTGTTCAGTAGTAAATTGCACACACACAACGTGATATTTGAAGTCATACACACTTTATTAACTTTAACTTCTGTTGTAGTCTGAAGACTGTCAATATACTGAAACTTTTGCTACCATTGTGGACAAAATACTGATATTGATAGTCGAAGGACCTTGCCTGGTTCACTAGTTCTCTAGTTTTCTATCCGGTTCTAAGCCTAGGAAGAGAGGGAAGGTTGGGCTTGGGGATGGCGACCCTAACTCAGAAAATCAGTTCAATCACTATAAAAACTTCGAAGCACATGAAAAATATTTTAAAAAAACAAGACACTTCTAACAGTGTATAACACGAACACCTTATGATGTGGATTCATTAAGTCTGTTTCTGATTATTTTTTTCCTATCCCTCAAAATATACTTTGAATTACTTTGTATTTTCAGCTGTTTATGGTTTGATCTTTATTTCGTAACTTTGGTAAACTAGGTAGAATCAATTCGTTTATACAAGTTGTTTAACTTATTCATTATCAAATATCTCTATTACCGGAAAATTTGAATCATCATACTGTGGTGAGAGATGGTTGCTAGCCAAATTGGTTGACAGTAATTGAGGTCAATGTTAGTCATGTGAAAACAAGGTCAAGATGGACAGGCGGATACAGTTAACATATAGATGAACTGACACAGCCACAAGAGATGCAAGGTTAACTTTGTGTGAGAAACAACCAATCAACAGACTGTATTTTCTACTAACATTGACCTACAATAATGTACATCAAAATCTATAAATATGTGTTGATTTTCCGTAATAAACGTTCTCTTTCCTGGCCCTTGTCTTCTGTTGTTACAATACGACAGATTTAATGGTTTCGTTCACTGTTTCATTTGCTCTTTTGACATGATCTTTAATCATATTTGTTTAACGAATCAACAATATTTACAAACTCAAAATTAGACCAACCCATTAGGCTATACGTTGCAGTTTACTTCATAATCCGTACTATCATTCCACCTCTTTCCGAAGATATAAATCTGACTATTTGTGTCAATAGTTTTTATGGCTACATGAGTCAAGTATGATGTAAATTTGTTATACTCAATGTTGATTCACAAATGTGATTCCAAACTTCTGTAGTTTCATGAAGTTTACCATTCAGTATGTTCTATCGAAATCCCTTTATTTAGTTCATACAGAGTTGATGAATATACCTCCATCTTGCACTTACTTACGTCGTCAGGAGTTAATGTAGAAGGTGATCTTTTTCCCTCTTACTGGAACTGCATCTGAATGCCTGACATGATTGTGTAACAATACTGAAATTTATTCAACTATAAAAATCTAGTAACTCAATCTAATAACTCAATAAGAATAATGCTAGAATAATAATTATTATCTTTGCTCAACACCTTCGCACCACATATTACGTGAAATATACTCACCATCAGCGTATGCATCATCCTTTGCTTTTTCTAAAAAATGAATAAAACAGAAAGTTTTTTAAAATTCTCTAAAGGGATTAACCTCAGAAAAATGCCAGAAAATGTAACGGAATAATAGTTTGGAAATCCTCTTCTCAACGAGCTAATCACAATATTTTTACTTATTTGGACGTTCCAACTGACTTCACAATTATTATTCTCCTAGGTTGTATATCAGTGTCCTGAAGTTTGCATATCATGTGTTCACTTAATCCTTATTATTTATCTTCTCTTTGTGATTGTGCGATAGATACACTGCTAGTGTGTTGTTTTACGATGTGATATTGTTTGAGTCAGTCAGGGTCATTCTGACGCTGAATTGTATGCGGGAATTGTTGGTGTGATTCTTGTGGAGAGAGGTTTTAGTCCCGCCTTGTTAGGAATATTCTAATGATTCTAAGGTACCTGTTACAGTTGAATTTTGGTTAACTAATTTTGTTCTACAGTACTTGTTTTGTACTTAGAATGTTACTTTGTCTTTAAAGCTGATTATGGCACCGTTGACTTAATTTTCCTGTTTTTGATATCGTTATTGTTAAATGAAGCTACACATAGATTCAAACAGGAATAATCTTCTTTTTGTTATCTATGGAGTGTTTCCGTGACTGTGTGTATGTCTCAATGAGGTTTTGTCAGCTGTACAGTAGAACTCAGAGATAGGTTTCCTGCTAACCACAGACCACAACGATTCGGTTTCGGTCGTTACAGTTAATTCCTAAGAAATGCAAATGACTGTTGCGTCAATCTTCCCTATGTAGGCGTTTAGCGTCAAGCTAATACTATTAACAGAGAAATTTGGTTGCTAATACCCAACGGAACAAAATAAGGATGTTACATTTGCCTCACAGACGTCTATAGTGGCCGACACAACTGCTTCTTTTTGGTTGTATCAATTTAACGAAATTTAATAATTAAAAAATATACATTAGTACTAAATAAACTAATCAGAGTTGTTCAATGTATATAACAGTTACTGTGAATCGGCAACTTACCTGGACTACCGCTTGTCATATCGAAGCATGCGAATACAACCACGAGTACAAATAAAGCGCTCTGTAGAAAATACGTTTACACAGAATATTTTATAATTTACCAAGAACTTGTTCATGTTTTCACTAATGACATTAGCTGACATAACTCCTTTTTATACAATATATCAAAATATTATTGATTTGCTGTACTGTTGAATACATTTCAAAGATTTCAAAAAATCTCTAGAATGGATTATATATTGACGATTTTTTTCTGAATAAACTTTCTGACAAATATGTGTTAGTTGTTCTAAGTGTCATAGGTGACAATATATACACAAAAATATTGGTTGTCTTTTTTCAATAAATGCTCAAATATGCAAGTCATTTCGTAATAATAAACGATTGAGTAAACTTAAACACCTTCTCAAGTTAGGCTTTTCTTAGGAAATAAGTTTTTCATCAATATAATACAGGTCATTTAAATGAAGTATTTAGCAAGCATTTGTCCCTCTTCAACTTCTTAGTATCATATTCTTGTGACACACACCTTATCCATTTCAAAATCCTATAGAAAAGAATGTATACAACTAAGCAGACTAAATAAATGCCATACAACAAGATAAAAAAGCACACGGAATTTCAGTATTCCCAAGAAAGTAAGTTCTCCTCATTTTAATTCTCATTCGCCACTGGAAACCTATCAAATACATTCTTTTAGTTATTGAATCTCGTAAATAAATGACCTACTTGAAGTTAACTTCGACTGAAATTATCTGTGAGGTTTACAGAAAGAACAACCTCTTTTACCTACCTGGGAAGCATCGTCTCAACTACAGGCGGAACTGACCAGGATATCAAAGCAAGAATAGGAAAAGCAAGACAAGCTTTCAGTACTCTCAAGTCTGTGTGGAGGTCAACAGCACTCAGCATCAAAAATAAGATCCGGATTTTCAACTTTAATGGGGAGTCAGTGCTATCGTACGGATCAGAGACTTGGCGCGTCATAAAGAGCATCTCCAACAAACTAGAGACCTTCATCAACAGCTGTCTTTGCTCAATACCACTCAAGATCAGATGGCCGGCCAGAAAATATCAGCAATAGGGATTTCTGGGAGCAAACCAACCAGGAACCGATTGTGAAAAAATAGGCAGAAAGAAATGGAGATGGATTGGCCATACTCTGAGGAAACCATCGAGTGACATCACTAGACAAGCCATTGCTCAAGTGGAACCCGAAAGGGAAGCGGCGAGTTGGTCGTCCAAGGGTGACTTGGAGGAGGTCATATGATGAGGAGATGAAAACGTGTGGGCAAACTTGGAGCCAGGTGAAAACTCTAGCAGAGAACCAAACGCAATGGAAACGCGTGACTGAAGCCCTGTATTCCTCTAGGAATTAAAGGAAACAATAATAATATAATAATTTAAAGAAAGAACCATCTATAGAAAAGATATGAAATTCTTCATCAAGACAATCTACATGACCTGATTACAAATTTTGATACAAAGAAACAAATAAGGCCTTAAAGGAAAAATTAAAATGTCGAATTAAACTTAGAAAAATGGAAATTAAATAGTCAAACGTTGAATATTCGGGAAATGTGTCATAATCACACACACACAAAACTTTTCGTTGCTTACACTGACGTTTTTTGACAAATGATTTCTCAGAATTTTTAAATATCTTTAATGGAGCTTTTCTTACTTATAGACATTTATATCGTTACAAAATGTGAATCCCCCTGGGTACAAACTACTCACCTCTTCTGTTAGTTAATTAGTCAGAAAGTTAGTTATTTAGTTAGTCAGTTTAGTATCTAGTTATTTAGTTGCTTATTCACTTAATTTGTTAGTCAGTCGCTTAGTGGGATAATTAGTTAGTTAGTTACCTAGTTAGTTAGTCAATTAGTTAGTAAGCTCGCTTATCTGTTGGATATCTAGTCATTTTCTTAGTTAATCAGTCAGCTAGTTAGTTACATAGTTACTTAATTAGTTAGTCAATTAGTTAGTTAGTTAAATAACATTTCTGCACCCTCAAAAGCTTTAATTCTTAGTTAGGACTTCTGAAGACTCTAGAAAATAAGTTTTGTTCCATGATACTTGAAAATCTGAACTTGTTTGGTGCATTGATGTTGAAATTAATTAACTGTTGCATGGCTAATGAACTTTTCTGTGGCCTAGTGCTAACTCTGATTAATTCACATTTTATTTTGTTTCCAAGAATTGAACAGATCTCATGGGGCCACATTAATCTACTGCAGTACCTTAATGATTGTCTATATACTGTATCTGCGAATAACGTCTATCTTCAAGAAAAAATAAAAACAAGTATATCATATTCGGCATCACCTTGGCAGATCGTATTTCAAGCGATTATATAAATTATATCGGCAGACGTAACAGAAATTCTCAATATGAATAGATTTTTTAAAGAAATCCAAGATCAGATAACTAGAAACGTCGGCTACCATAGTCTTATTTTTAATCGTGGATTGATTATAACAATAGATAGAGTAGATGTGGCTCTTGGAAGAGAATGATGATTATATCATCTTTTTAATGTGTTGTGCGAATGAAGACTCCCGTCATCTGATTAAATCGCATGCTTCAAAGTCACCTGTATACGTAGCTTCCCAAATAACGTCTCCATTGGAAGCATTTAATATGGGCTTTAGATAACTTTTATCGTGGACTAATATGAGAAGAACAACCACTGTACATGCTGGTGATGTATTGAATCCTATGTAATCCTATGTAGTAATAAGCGCTTTATAAATCATTATAACGCATTTTCAACAGCCATCAGTCATGTCATGAGTGCGATACAATTCAGTCTAGTTACTCAACTATAAGCATACAGCAGACAGTGTGTTAACCTTTTTTCTAATGACTTTTTATTCCTTCACTTTCCCAGTGGAATATAGGGCTTCAAGCTAGAGGCTTGAAGTTTCTGTAGCAGTGTTTATTTTTACAGGATGGGGTTGCTAGCCTCAAGCCGAACCTTTCCTTTTTACCTGGCTTACCACCTGACAAGCAAAGCATAGAGGTGAGTCAACCGGAAATGTAACCCACGAGTACATGAGTATTTTGTGGAAATTCTAGCACTGAATTGCCACTGAACCCAAAAATTAAAATTTCATAAATCATTCAAAAGTCGCAGGAAGCACTCTAAGAATTGTTGAAATCTATCCAAAAGAATTTCTAATTAACGTCGAATGTCCTTTTGTGCCAGTTACACTTTATTTGTTTTTCACCTTCTTCCTCTTCGATATATTCTAGTCCTAAATACATAGAACCCCTTCTCTTCCAAAAAAGAGAAGTTAAATCATTGATTTGACCTCCATATTAATATTTGGTTTCACACTAACTTCACACCAGATATAACCTCATAAAAGCAAATAATATCGAATTTCAGTATCTAATTAATTTTGCAAATTAGTGTAGAATAACCTAAAAATAAATAATTTGTTTCTTCAACTTATGACGAATAGTTTACGGATATTTCTACACCCAACCTGCAGTCACTGAGTTCACAACGATTTATTTCGACACTAGATGTACTTAAATTCTCTTTTCATCAACATTTGATATTTTTGATGACGTTTACTCGCAATTATTATCAAACAACAGGGTGCATTTATATCAACAGGCTGTAGCATGCAGTAAAACTGCTTTAAGCAAACAATGGAACTTAAATCGTTAGGACTGTTTTTAGAATGGTTAGTGGTTTAAACTTTAGATATGTCAGTTATCAACAATATTGCATGTTTCTCAATTGCAATGAAACCCATAATTTGAGAAGGGCATTTATTTAAGATTTAGAAAATTTCATGAACACTGGTATTAACGATAAACGTTGATACAGAAGTTTAATTAATCAGTCTTATTACTTAATGATATTACCATGGAAACTTGAAAAACAAACAAGCAGATTAATGTAGTAATGTCTTTTTCTAAGCATTCTTAACAGCCTTCCAACTTATACACACCAGTTTGTTTCCAAGCAGTCAGCAGCTATGTATCTATATACTTGAAAAGATGAAGAAACACTTGAGTGGAACAACACAGATCCATTTTAATCCATCAGTTCTCTTCAGCTGTGTACAACCTGTAACATTTAGTAGTACTTGAAATTACCTGTTTAACGTGCTATAGTTCTTTTTAAAGGAATGCGTACTGAAGTTATGAATAGTAACGCGTAGCCATAGTGATGCTAAAGGTTTCTTTGAAATAGGATTCTTCCCAAAATTATAATTGATCTAACTTCTGTATACGTCCCTAGCCTCTTTCGCTGTGGCTCCCCTATCCAAAATGAGTATTCCTCTAGGCTTTGTGTTTGCAAACATTTATATGACTAATATTGAACAGACAGAGCTAAAGCGTATAGCTAACGCGTACTTTCAGGAGAAGGCACACTGGTACAACAGGGAGAACAGCCTAAGCCAGATGTTTTCTGTTAATAACGAAGGTGTCGTTCGACTTTAGTTAACTAACTTTCCAGCCTACTTCATAACTCTGTTTTTATTCGACTGCATCATTCCTTGCAAATGATTTTCATACCAGACTTAAATTTTGATCATCTGGGCCCTACCCACCATATTTCATTACAATTTACATTATCCCCTTTCCACTAGGTTTCTCCTTCTATATGCAGTCCAATCTGTACACAGATTCAATGTCTAATTTATTCTGTGTTCTCTTTTGTAAAGGAATTAGATAACAGTTCTATGAGTCGCATGCTTGGGTTGTCCATCACTTTTTGCCATCGTGATATATTGTGGACAAATGTGTTCCCGTAAAAATCGCTTTTATATAAAAACGGAGAGATTATTCATAAAAGACATTGAAACATGGTGAAGACTGAAAATTAGACATTCTCTGATTTCTTCCACAAAATCATCAAAATTATTTTGCTAATAAGTATGTGTTTCTGTCCTTCGTGTGTTTAATACTTCATGTGTGATTGATGAGTTGACTCAATATCATATGTGAATTTTCTGTTGAATTTAGTTGCAGTATGCTTCATCATAAAAAGCTATTCATTATAGAATTTGTTCTTATAATCTACCTGTCATTTACCTAAAAGTTAGAAGAAGGTTTTTCAGATACTTTCTGTACACTAGTGTACTGTAGTGTAAGTGTTGCATGAATTCTCTTGAATCAA